CCAAGAACCACCGTAAACTGGGATTTATTCAATTCATTAGTCGGCTGTTGGAAAGATGCCATTGTCGAAAACATTGACGAGGAATACAATCGGCTCATTCAACATCTTCACGTTATCGCTATGAAAGCTGAGAGTTCGAAAGTCACCAAAAGAATTCTTTCTCCAGGAATTCTCCAGGAAGGAAATCTCCAGGGGATGTGCGACTGCGAGGCGGCCATATATGGACATCAAATACTATTGTCTAGGAAGATAGAAAACTTTTTCAGAGAGAAGTTCTCTATAGTGCTTAAGGTTCGCACCATTTGTCGACGAAAGTCCGCCCATAATCAGCCTCTAAACGCTACAAGTCTAGGCCGAAATGTCGATGAAATCGACCTATAATTATACTCAACTGACAGCTAATTGCCAGCACATCTCATGCAGCGTAAGAAATTGACGAACATTAATGAATCGTGGAGCAAGTATTGAACAGTCTTCATTTGATATTGCACTGTTCTTTACCTTGCACCTACTGCTTGTGTCAGTATTATTGCTCTACACATTTCTTCTAGCTCTAACAATGTGAGCGATTCTGATCTCTTGCAGTACGAAATCGATTTGTGCTGTAGGTTGTCTTGGACGACATCGTAATGATATCGTAATATGTTGGCCAACTCGACATTGTACAACAGCCATCACCATTCAGTGTGTTATGGCTGCATTCTATTTTCCCATTCTTTATTATTGAAGTGCAGCCAACGAAAGTCTCATATGGCCCACATATCTGCCGACCTAAATGAGATCCACCACTGATTTCTGGAAACACATCAGTACTCATTCTTATTTCCGCCGGCCACGGAGGTCCCTCACATGAGTGTTCTCGAGCCGGTTAGTCGCGATGGTACGTGGCGCGTCCCCAGGAGGCAGATAGTAGGTTAATCGCGGACCAAAAGCAACCTTTGCTTTCCTGAAGACGTAGGTGGATCCAGAAGATGAACTCCCTTTTTATGCTGCGCTGATTTGGCACATACTTTCCGTATTTGCTAGGCGTATTCATCCATGCGTGTGTGTGTGTGTGTGTGTGTGTGTGTGTGTGTGTGTGTGTGTGTGTGTGTGTGTGTGTGCGTTCTCGCTTATGCGGATTATATTCTATGAGTTAATTCGGCTAAAAGCTCGAAATAAAGTGACAGGGAAATATATGGGAGGCGGTTAGTAGTCGCTTCCAACAAATGAGCTCGATGTCCACTCTGGGGTGAACTGGCAAACTACCCGTGCGTATACCCAACCCCACGTTGAGAGCCAAGCAAGCCATACGTGGGCGTCAAAATGCTAAACACAGTACAAAAACGGTCCGCATTCCCTTAACCCCGAAACAGCCCCAATTTCGCAGCGTTGGGTAGGACGAGTACGCAGAGGATGTTAAGATCTCAGGGCGAATGTAAGCTGCCTAGATCACGAAGAACTATGGTGACCATCTGTACCTACAATGCACGTACACTTGAATCCGAGTCATCGATAGAAGGCTTGCTCATGCAAGCAAGAAGGAAAAGGTACGACGTCATCGGCCTGACCGAGACAAGAAGAAGCTAGCCTTCCAACGCCGTCTATGAAACCGGAGAAGAATTATTCCTCGGAACATGCAGCAGTAGAGGAGTCGGCGACGTCGGCGTTCTCTTCAACACGAGTTTGTCCATGAACATCAATTTATTCGAATAACTTACAATTCGAATTGGACGTTTACGATTAAGAAGACTTGGATCAATTCCGGCTTTGGCAATCTTCATCGTTTACGCACAAACATCAAACTATGATGAAGAATAAATCGAAACGTTCTATATGGAGAAGTTCTGAAGAAAAGATCACACATTCTTCAAGGTCATCATTGAAGATTTTAACCCCAAGGCTGGACCAAGAAGAACGTCTGAGGAACGTCACATTGGGGCTCACGGATTAGAATTGAACAAACAGGGTGAGCGAGTCTCTGAGTTTATCACGACGACCAAGACCATCAATGGCAACTCGCAATTTCAAAAGTCCCACCCTCAACGATGGACGTGGGAATCTCCCAGTGGAGAGTACCATAACGAAATAGACCATATCATAGTAAACCGGAGGTTTTGCCTAACCGATGTCGCTGTTGGCCCAAAATCTTACACGGAATCAGAACACCGCCTCCTTCGTGCAAGATTCCATTTCTCACAGGAAGGAGAAAAAGCCGCCAAATACAAGAAACGAGGTCCCAAAACCACTATCAACTGGGGCCTATTCGGCTCATTAGTTGGCTGTTGGGAATACACCGTTGTGCATAACATCGACGAGGAAAACGGTCGACTCATTCAACATCTTCACGTTAGCGCTGTAAAACCTGAGAGTTCGAATGTGACCAAAAGAATTCTGTCTCCAGAAACTCTCGAGCCTACACACCAGCGTGGAATCGCACTAGATGCAGGCAATCGCGAACTAACGTCCAAACTTGCAAAACAATACAGGCAGACAATAAAAGAAGACCTTAAAGAGAGAAGAGCAGCAGTAATGGTCGAAGCTGCAGAGGCTGGGAAAAGCCTTTGCAAAGCACACCGAAGCTTCACCAATTACATGACCAAAATGATTGCACTCCGGCGCCCAGACAGAGCAGTTGCAGCGTCCAGAAAGGCAATGGAGAAAATCATTCACGAATATTACTCAGATCTCTTCGATAGCCACGTCCACGTCCCGTCGTATTGAAAAAGGAGGATGGATATGTTGTACCACCGGTTCTCCCTTCCGAAATCCGACATGCCATTTTATCGGTGAAAGATCGAACAGCACTAGATCCGGACAGGGTAAGACCAGAACACCTGAAGAACCTTCCGCCAGTCCTCGTAAACACACTGGCTCGGCTCTTTACGCGTTACCTGTCTGAATGCAAGGTCCCTACTCAGTACATAAGGATTCTTCGTGAGCTGTACAAAAATTTCACAACCAAGATATCACCATTCTATAACGATATTAACATTAACGTTAAAAGAGGGGTTAGCCAAGGCGATACCATCTTGTCAAAATTATTCACCGCCAGCCTCCAAAACATCATGTGAACAATGGAATGGGTTAATATGCGAGTGAACATCGATGGTCGACAGTTACACGATCTTTGCTTTGCTGATGACATCGTGCTTAGAACACCAAAAATTTGCAAAGCGGAACGTATGCTTGCCGACTTTGGTAGAGCCTGTGGAATGATTGGTCTTCAACTAAATCTCACAAAAACGATGTCCATGAGTAAGGGATCGGTTTCGTACGCCCTATTCACGCTCAACGTACCGAATATCTCCGAATGCTCCAGTTATGTTAATCTTGGTCGGGAAATCAATATGATGAACGATTTAGCTCCAGAGCTGAAGAAAAGGAAACGAACGGCTTAGGCAGCTTTCAAGGGCATCGAGGATGTAGTGAACAGCACAAAGAACACCCGACTCCGCGCCCACCTTTTCGACTCAGCGCTACTTCCTGCGTTAACGTTTGCGTGAGAAACCTAACCTCTGCGTACACAGGATGAAAAATCACTTAGCGTTATTGAACGCGCAGTCGAAAGGACAATGCTAAGAGTATCCCGTGTTACGCAGTTAACGGAAGGGATCTAAAGCTCTAACCTGCGTCAACGACCAAAAATCAAAGATGCCGTTCTGTACGCAAAACTGTCGAAGATAAGGTGGACCGGACATGTAGTGCGAATGAGGGTCAACTGATGGACAAGGGCCACTAGTGACTGGATTTTTCGGGTTGTCAAACATACCGCAGAAAAACCACTGGCCCTATGGTCAGAGTTCTTCACGAAAAGCCTAGAAGAAAGATGTGATGCTCGAGTCCCTAGAGCGAGCAGAACCCACTGGGCTACTCTTGCACGCGACATGGAATCATGGAAAATTCACTGGCACCCGCTCGAGTCACTCGACGATCAACGGGACTACAGGTGGTACGGGTAAAACAGGTGATTTTCGCCTGATCACATCTTTCGCAATCAGCAGTTTGTAAAGTCGCCATTTTTGCTTTAATCACTTAAACAATAGTGCAAAACACCCTTGACCATGGTACCATTACTCGTTGCTCTCCATGTCATTATCACTTACAGACCCTGTTGCTGTTTTCAACTTTACACATATCTTGTGGATATTACAATAGCGTTTTTTGCTTACTATAGTTATATAAGCAGTTTAATTGCCCAACATTTATACCTGGCCTTGCGAGAGTGGCAAAAAGATCAGCGTGACAGGAAATATCGTACAAACGAGTAATTCCGCTATATTATACTTTCTACTCCATTAAATACAGTAGTGGTGATTAGATGCATATGTGGCCTATACAGTCACTTCCTGATGGAGAGTGCTACAAAGCGCCTCTATGCTCATAGACGTCTTGTAACGATTTTCAGATCGCAGGGAAAGAGAGTTTAGTAAGGATGGGATGCGTGGTACAGCCAATGAGCATGTGTGCGTGTACTGTATTCAACTTCCAACCGTCATGCTATATGTATCCTCGAAAATTCCACACAGATCTGAAAAACAAGAGCATCACTGTCGCGTGAAAACTTAACGAGTCTATCTATCCTTCGGAAAAACGATTTTCTATTTGAAAAGCTGACTTCCGATTAACCTCGGCTTAAATAATCCACACACATTTTCCCATCGATAGGAAAAGAATAAAAACTTCATTTCATTCACTTTGGAAGAAGGAATATCGGTGGACAAATAGCTCGAATCAATCTGAACCTGAAGAAAGCGATGGCGCTGAAATGTTTTCATAGCAGGTTTATTCATAGTCTAAAACATCATTTATTTCATCAGAACAAAGAAAAAAGCGTTCTGAAACAATTAATAGGTATCTTCTTGGATTATCGAGCCGACGTGGAGTTGGCATAAAATATTCATTCCGCTAACCTTCCGCGCCTTCGTCTTTTTCACTACTGGACTGATTTGAGTTGAAAATCGACAGGTGGTCATCCTCGCAATGTTGCTTATTGTCGGATCTTATCGAATCTCATAGATTGAATCACAGATGGAATAATAAATCCCACACAATAGCGCTTTTTTTACAGGACGTAAGTCGATACATTGTCGCCATACAGCATATGCTTTTTTCAGCCGCGATGCATTCTGCAGAAGTCGGTGGCAAACTATGGTACACTTCATGGGAATGCCCCTCTAAAAGCCGAATTTTGTTCACTTTATTTCCTTAATTATGAGATCACACAAGCAGCACTACACTTTAATAAATTTGTTCCTCGTAATCTCCAAGAACAATTATAACGAGTGAAGACTACGAAATACGCTTAGCGATGCTGAGACATTTGCAAAACTTCGGACCGCAGGTGTCTGTGGTGGGAAACGAACGCGCAATTACCCTTTCCGGGGTGGACGCGTTCACCACCAGAACATGCAGGTCCTTCGTTTAGCCTGTATCTCAGCTAGCTCTATCGTTAGCAATTACCAGTCAACGGGATCTGACGTGAAACATCGTAGTAGGAAGTAAATAAAAAGTAGGCACTGTGATTGCAACTACACACTCAGATTAACTGAGCTCTTTGCCGATTTGCACGCTCCAGATTAATCTCGTTAGCGGTTTATTGCTGACGGCACGCGATAGAACTGGCTGAAAGACAGGAAAAGCGAAGGACATGCATATTGTGGCGGTGAACGCGTAAGCCCCAGAAAGGGTAATAACGCGTTCGTTCTCTACAGCAGACACCTGTGGTGCAGAGTTTTGCAAATATCTCAGTATCATTATGGCAATACGAAGTATATTAGTTGCGAAAGAAGATTAAGAAGCACTGGGATGTGCTTTCGGAGTAAATCTACCTCGCTTTTAACACAGCAAGACGCATTTGCTATAACAATCAGTTATTCAATATAGAATCACCCATGGTGTGTTAATAGGTATTTGAAATCCTCCCGTTTACGTTTCAAACCTCTGCTTTTTTAACTTTTATTTACTACTTATTTTTTTCTTAGTATGGTATAATGTGAAATACAACCACGAGTACACTGAGATATGAGCAAAACTCAGAGCCTAAGTTGGGCATCGAATCCGCGATTACTCTTACCTGGTGCTCACGTGCTATTACCTCACCAATTGAGGCCGTCGCTCTGTCTTTTTCTTGCGCATACTCTTACGATATCGACGCCGTTAGCATTCACCCGTCAACGGGAATAATCTGAGCAGCACAAACCAGCACCGAACCTAGTTCGACTGAAGTCCACCCCAGCTTTCGAGTTTCGCTCACATCTCAGCACCCTTGTTGCTGTACTTCTCACAGCATGCTGCCGGAGGAAAAGAATGGGCAGCGATTAAATTGTAAAACATTGTAGGTTAGACTGCAGCTTTACCTTAACCGTGTTCAATGCCGATTTTGCTTCACTGATCATTCCAGTTGACGGGTTACTGACACTGATAGAACCGTTAGAATAAAACTATTTGAGATAAGAGCAAAGTAAGAGTATTGTTTAGTACGATGGATGACACATGAACCTCCAGGAACAACAATCACGAATTCGAAGTTCAGCTGAGTTTCCGAACTTTGCTCATATCTTAGAGTCCTTGTGATTGTATTTCATCCAACTTCCTCTATTCGCCTGTTTTCGTTGGGTTTTTTAGAAACTGTCGGATCGCAAAGATGGAATTTATTTATGAAAGCAAAACCTTTAGATACACTTTGTTTGGGAAGAAATCCACCTTTATAGTAGTGTTCAGAAGTTTTTTCTTACATTTTATCAACTGAAAGATCAACTAACCCCAAGCATTCGTAAATTATGCTGTCTTGAAATAATTGTACTTCCAAAGAAATACGAGTAAGCAAGCATAGGTAATAACAGTGTAACAAAAAGCTTTTTGTCACGGTTATACCAAGAATCCACGAAAAATATCTATCAAAAGGGAACACAAAAAAGTGAACTAGTTTGTAAAGGAAAACAATTCCCTACGTCATACAGAACAGTTTCTATCTCCTGACAGTGTCATGCATTTGCCTTCTTACTTGAGTACTGTTCTATTTATATTATTATCTAGCGTTCCAGCTAACCACTACAGTTGGGAATCTCGCCACTGCATCTCGTTGAGGCATCATTTATTGACTAACATGTGTATTTCCTGCTATTTTGTTTCGTTTTGTTATTTTAATTTCATCTTTGTTAATTTTCTTGTTTATTTAACTCGCGAAATTGCTTTGTTATTATTGCCTCGTTTATATCTAAGGTTTGATTATCCAAGTTTGATGCTCGATCATATTTTTTAATAAACTCTTTCGTGGCTGGCCAAACGAAGAGGAGCATACACCACACGAGCTAGCTAATAAAGGAAATTTTCAGTGCAGACTGATAAAATTTTTCCATTACCTGTTGTAACTCGAAAAACTCGAAACTTCCGACCATGAGCTCTGTTTAAAATGCCTTTACGAAAAATAGTTTTTCGAGAGTTTGCATCACTAATGTTGACCAATGTTTGCTCGCCATCCAAAATACAATTTGGAAAAATTGTAACTCGTGCTCTCTCAGATATTCCTTGGTTAAAAAGTTATGTGAGGCCACCATTTCCTCTGAGTAACTGTAACTTCTTAACCCTCTTTAAATAAATTGCTCTCTTTCCTGCAAATTGCTGCCTTATCTTAGCTAGCCATATACCGTTTTTAGGCATTTCATTTTCGATATAAATGGGGCGAGAAGTCCATCACCGTTAGACGAGTTTTGTTATATTTACTTTGCCGATGCAAAGCATGGAATGCCACAGGTTTCCAATCCTCCGTTTTCCAGTAAGACTCATATTTAGCTTTATAGCAGAGTCCAGTGGGATATATTCGAGTGTTTTCCGAAGTTTCTCAGGTATTTCAAAGATTTTTTTGTGTTTTGTACATGCTTTTCATCTTTATAGTAGAAGTTGCGAGAACATGGTTTTCATTGTACAGCTATGTACCTGAAGAGTTTTCGCAGACACTGTTCGTTGTCTCCTTCAAACCCAGTCCAGTTTTCTATTCAGTACAACTGGCAACACGAAGAAAAAAGCAAAAGTATGTGAATTCGCCTTCATTTAAATTGTAGAGAAGTTTCAATACAAATCACACCTGTATGAGTTTCAGAAGCTTACCAATGTAGGAAGTCTCTCCAGTGTTACTATCCTTCTAGACAGATTCAAATGTAATTCTTCACCGAACTAGAGAGATGGAGAGATTAGTTTGCTCGAACCCAGTATCAAACAGGCTGCTAGATATAGCAGCCCGTTTTTACACTGTGGTACATGCTTCTCTACTTGTATCAGATGCTGTATAAACCCCAGTTAATTAGTGTCAGGAAAACGAAAAATGCTATACACGACAAATTTCAGTTGTGAACTTCGATAAGTAGTTGTCATTAATAGTAATAAATGGGGTAAATATCAT